TGGTTCATTGGCTCTCCTTATGTCATGCTCAGAGTATTGCTCCCTTTTCTAAGTCAAACTCACCCATGATTCTGTCCATACTGGAGCAAAACCCAAACTCTTCATGGTGGCAAGCAATGCCCTTCCTGGTTAACGCTGGCTGCCTCCCAGCCCTATCCATCCTCCTCTTTGTTTCCAGCCATCTGGAATGGCTTTCAGTTCCCTAGTGGGTCACAGTCCTGAGACCCCGCTGCAGCCTTCCCATATCAGCTGCCTCTCTCTGAGGCCCACACCCACTCTTTGCACCTGCCCAGCTCTTCCTTCTCATTTGTTACTGACTCTCCCTTTATGATGGCATTGATGGCATGCTGTAAGGTGCTCCCCCAGACTGGGACAAGGTAGCTGTCATTCTCTGCTTCTGGCACAAAGCTTGGTTCTCTAGGTGTGGGATGAATGTATATTTTATAAATCATAGATGGGAAGAAACTCTCTAAAAGTTATCCTGCTGTATTTATTGTGTTGTGCCTCACTGTATTTATGAGACCTGCAGAAGGGACCTGTCCCTGAGGACTTCCAAGTTTCTAACAAATCCTCATAATGAGGTGGTTTCTTAGGTTTCCTTGTACCACCTGTCCCTAGCTCCTCGACTTTGCTGTGTATAGTGGACCACCTGGCTGCTGTCCAGAAGGGTGATTGATAGAAACCTGGGTATTGCTGCCAAGTTTAAGAAAAATAAGATGGAGAATCCAATGTCAGCTGTCCAGGATCGGGGAGTCAAAAGTGATGATTTCCCTTCCCATTTTTGTCTATTCTGTCAACAGAAGCATTGTGCAAAAATGAAGAGTGTTGTGGAGCTCAGCCGAGAAGCTGGTGTTTGTGGGGGGTGGAGGGAGTGAAGAGAATGGAGACAGTTGCTAGAAAGGTCCATGTTTTTTGTTGTTGGAGGAGGAAAAATTGTGGAGGCAGCCAGTCACAAGGAGACTGGTAGGTCCTGTCTCGCCTGTCCCCTGCCCCTACCACTCACAGATTTCTAGGTATTTTAGCTGCCAACAGATTCATGAGATGTTGTTAATCCTGACAGAAATGATAATCCCCAGAGGGAAAAAGTGTTTTTAGCAATGTATGGGAAGGCAACAACAGTAGCATCAAGAAGAAACCCCTTTACTGAATTGGTGTAAATGTTTGCCTTGCACACAATGTTGTGAGTTTATTTGCTCTTAGGGATATAATTTTTTCTGCTTGAATCTTTAGAGTTATTTCCAGAATTTCAAAAGGCCGTTCAAAAGCCATGGTTTTGTCTAAAGTGTTCTGGTCCGGTCAGCTCTGTCAGTGGAAGGACCAAGGAGGAGAAGGGCTCACGTTGAGAGATGAGAAAGTTATTGTCCTTAAACATCAACGTGTGACATGAATTTAGAGTTTAAAAAAATAAAATCTTGGGAACTGTGATGGCTTTTAAAAAACTCTGGTGATTTCTTGGAAAATTGAAGCAAGGTGAATGTAATTACTGAATTGTGCATAATTTTTAAATGGTTCATCTGTTGTAAACTGTATTTTTCCAATGCAGGGAGCATAAAAATCATGAAACTCAAATGATTAGAATTGTACTTAGAAAGTAAATCTGGATGGAAAATATTCCTTTCCTTGAACAATAATATTTGACTTCAAATTGGCTATTCTACTACTAGAAGAAGCTATGTATATAAAGTAAAAGGATATTATATTTTTAATCACAAAGGTGTGTTGCTGGAGAAATGGTGGTGTTCTTGTCTTTGCGCAAGAAAGAATTCAGGCGTGAGACAGAGTAGTGGAAGTAAAAAGTAGCAAAGTTTATTAGGGTAGGGACATCCGCAAGAACAGATGGGCACCTCTCCAGACAGGACCTGAGAGTGCCCAGTCGCTCGGACTGCGGGGGGGAGGAGCGATGTTACATGGTTGAGTGGAGAGATTACACCTGGCCAGGCAGGCAGGTGGCTCAGCAGAGCCTCAGAGGGCTGAGCACGAAGTCCGGTTGAGGTGGGGGTTTTTAAGGAGATGGTCTTTGTCTTCACACATCTCCCCCTGAAACAAAGCATTTTATGGCTGTAAATATTAAGAAGCTCCTATCTGAGTTTTCCCCTGAAGGTATCAGACAGGAGGAAACCTAGCTGGCGCCATCCTGGGTTCAGAGGAAGGGTGAGCACGACCCCCTAGAGAATGGGGATCCAGGAGCAGGGTGTTTGAAATGCAGATACTGGGCTGTATCTGGGAGATTGTGGAAGATTTGTCAGGCAGAAGGGGCAGGGGACCTCCACCTGGCAAGTTATCAGGTGGAAGGGGGCAGGGCAGGATGCAAATGCTGGACTGCCCCTGAAACATTATCGGGATGACTTTGAGACGTAGATGCATATGCTGGATATAGATGTCTTCTCTTTAGGCCTTTGTCATACACACATAAGCTCATATCTAACTTCCTACCTAACAGGTGCTTTTAAATTTATTTAAAGTTAATTCACATTGTGTTCCATTATAAGTGTTAATAAATTGCTTCCTTAAAAAAGAATTCTGGGTGCAGGTATTGTGGTACAGTGAACTGGGACACCTGCATCCCTTATCAGAGTGCCTGGGATAGAGTCCTCCTTCCACTTCTGATCCAGCTTCCTGCTGATGCACCTGCGAGGCAGCAGATGATGGCCCAAATACTTGTATGATTGCTACCCATGTGGGAGACCTGCATGGAGTTCCAGACTCCTGGCTTCTGCCTGGTCTGGTCCAGTGATGCAGGTTTTTGGTGAGTGAATCAGTGGATAGAAGATTCTCTCCTTCTATCTCTATCTCTATCTCTATCTCTGTCTCTATCTCCATTTCTATCTCTCTCTCCCTCTGTCACTCTGCCTTTCAAAGAAATGAATCTTAATGAGGATAAAATAAAAAATCTGTTTAGAAAAATGTACCTGTTCACACCTTTTTAGGAGCAGAACTATCAGAATACCAAATGATTTTTCAAACTGATATTTAGAGTATATTAGGATGTGTGTTATGTTTGGAGTCTGAGGACATTATTTTCTAATTAAAACAATTAAACTGAAACACAGTAGTTGTCTATATTTATGGTGTGCTATGTGGTGTTCTAATTCCTGTATGCATTGTGTGATGCATTGTGTGGTATGCTATGTGATGCATTTTTGAGTATATTGCATGGTGCCTTGTGTGGGAGTCAAATCAGGGAGCTGATCCATCTCTCTAAACATCTGGAAGATTTTCTTACGGTGAGAAAATTCAAAATTCTGCTGACTTTTTTTTTTGAAGTTTTAAAATTTTATGTGTTTATTTTTATTTGAAAGGCAGAGTGACAGGGAGACAGAGAGAAATCTTCCTTCTGCTGGTTTGCTCAGCAAATGCCTGTAAAAATCAGGGTTGGACCAGTCTGCATTCAGGAGCCTGGACCTCCATATGGTCTCACATGTACTTGGGACTTCATCTGTTGCCTCCCAGGTATGCGTTAACAGGAAGCTGAACCAGAAGCAGAGGCAAGATTCCATCCCATGCACTCTGATATGAGGTGTGGGTATCCCTTCAGTAGCTTAGTCTGATGCACCATAATGCCCACCTCTCTTCTAAATTTTTAAAAATGTATGGTACATTATTATTATCTGTAGTCACCCTACATGCCATAGAACACTGGAAGTCCTTCCTCCTATCCTTAATAACTGTTGAGAAACTTTCCCCTTTCCTCCTTGCTTCTCACCCCATTTCTGGTAACCACTATTCTCCTCTCAATCTCTATGCAGTCAACTTTAAAAGAAAAATAAGATTTGTTCATTTATTTACTTGAAAGGCAGAGCAACGGGAGGGGGAGGGGAAAGAGAGAGAGAGAGAGAGAGATCATCCATCCATCCATCCATCCATCCTCTGGTTCATTCCCCAAATGGCTACAACAACAAGGGCAGAGCTAGGCAAAAGCCAGGAGCCAGGAACTCCATTCAAGTCTCTCACATGAGTGGCAGGGGCCCAACCACTTGAGCCGTAACCTGCTGCTTTCCCAGGTGTGTTCCCAGGAAGCTGGGTGGGAAGCAGAGCAGCTGAGACTCGAATTGGTGCTCTGATGCAGGGTGCCAGCGCTGTTCTGCAATGCTGGCCTTGAAATCAACTTTTTCAGATTCCACACAAGTGAGATCATGCAGTACTTGTCTTTCTGGGTCTGGCGTGTTTCACTGAACAAAATACCCTCCAGGGCCATCTGTGTTGAGAAATTGATGACAATTTATTGAGATGATTACTTTTAAGATCAGGAGGCATCTCTGGGGAATATGTGTCCTCTATAGAACTTGCTTTAGTGACTTTCCCTTATGTGTACAAGGAAAACCCAGGCTGGAGCTCCTGGACCTCCAAGGGAGTGCAGCATGTGAGGCCTCTCAATTTCTGGGTTCGAATCTTCCAGAAACCACTTTTTAGCTATGAGATCTTGAGCCAGTTACTTAGTAATTCTTTGGCTTGATTTCTTCATCAGTAATTTGGGTATAAGTGTCCTCTTCATAGTTTTGCTGCAGGATTAAAGCAATTTATAGGAAATTTTAGAATTGTTCTTGAGTAGTAAAGAGAAGATCTGCAATGGATAGCAGCATTTATTATTACTGACATTGGAAAGCTCATTCCTTCTAAAAAATTGGAGTGAGTCAAAGGAGACTAAGTTTCTCAGTTTTTTTTTTTAATTACATTCAGCTGAAGTCAAAATTATTTAGCTAGAATGTCATTATCTTCATGCCATAGCTTAAAATGTTTAGACAAAAATAAAATAAAAAGACAAAGGGAGAAAAAAAACCTGGCAACGGGACAAGTTTTGAGAATGGTTTTAAAGAAGTCATTGTATTCAGTTGGCCTGGCAGGCTACTGTAAACACCAGGAGATGTAAGAAGGAAATCAGACCCATTGTGGGTCAATGAAATGCATGTCTTTTCAACCAAACAGATGGCTATCTGCCTAACAGAGCTGACTCCTGTTCCTCTCTGCCCAGTCATTTCCTTTACAGCCTTTACAGAGTGTCTGTAAGAACCACCCACTCTGGTGTTTCTCAGGATTATAGGTTTTTAGGTCAAACAGAAACCCCGGGGAACCGCCTGAAAAAGACAAATGCAGGCAGCTCCATTCTGCCCAGGCTGGATGACGTGGCCTCCACTGTTGTTTGTCGCGGAGGCTGCGGAGCCCAAATGTGTGTGCATCTCTCCCTGTGCACCCCTCAGCTGCCAGGAGCACTCGTTATTCTGGCGAAGAGATCAGATCTGAAGTCGCTCGTGTACCAGAACTTTCTCTGCTGGCCTAAAGGCTCGGTGCGACATCCCAAGGTGACCTTGCCCACTACTCCGTTCATCTCGGAAGCTTGAGCAGTGGGCCCGCCACACTTGTTTTCGTTTTCTTTCTCATCATCAAGCAGCTCAACTATGGGTGAGACGCAGGAGCCTCTGGCCATGACCGTGCATCTCCTGGCCAACTCTGGGCATGGCTCGTTTTTGCAGCAGACTCTAGATCAGCTTCTGGACTTCATTTGCCCGGAAGTCCGTCTCTTCCTGGTGTCGGAGAGGGTCAGCCCAGTGAGATACTATGACAGGCACCCTCCGAAGCGGTCCCGCTTCCCAGGGATGTCTGTTTTACTCTTCCTTCACGAAAGCCTCGGAGAGGAGCGGCTGTTTCGTGTTCTGGACTCCCTGCAGCGATCGCCCTGGCAGTGCTACCCGACCCAGGATGCACAGGGGCGGCTGCGTCCCTACCTCCTTGACAACCAGGAGTTCTACAGCCTGGACAACCAGATGCCTGTCTGGGGTGTGAGGCAGGTGCACTGCGGGGCTGAGATCCTGCGGGTGACACTCTACTGCAGTTTTGATAACTATGAGGATGCCATCAGACTCTATGAGATGATCCTGCAGAAAGAGGCCACACTGCAAAAGAGCAACTTCTGTTTCTTCGAGCTCTACGCCACAGAGAGCTTTGCTCTGCAGCTCTCCCTGAAGCAGCTGCCCCTGGGAATCTCGGTGGACCCAAAAGAATCCTCAGTGCTGCAGTTCAAGGTTCAGGAGATTGGCCAGTTAGTGCCTCTGCTACCCAACCCGTGCGTTCCCATCAGCAGCACCAGGTGGCAAACTCAGGATTATGATGGCAACAAGATTCTGCTTCAGGTATTTCTTTTTCATCTGTATGACCTTTTACATCTGCATGGGCGTAGAGATGATGTGACCTACTGCTGTCAACAATGGCTGCACATTGGAATTCTTGGGGAACTTTGAAAAATTGCCAAGGTGTGGCTGCACCCCAGGCCAGTTAGACCGGAATCTCTGGGAGGCACTCAGATGATTAAAAAAAAAAAAAAAAAGCCTCCTTGGATGATGTAGTAGGGTTGAGAGTCACTGGTCTAGTAAAATGTTCTCATTGACAGATGAGAAAGCTCAATCTTGGTGAACTTGAACTTGGTATTAGAATCAGCCAGTGTCATCTTTTTTCAGAATTTGCCTTTGCTGGGCTGATCAACTTCATGCAAATCCTCTGTCCCCCTTTCAGACGCAGAAATATCCTAGACTCCTGCCACTTGACTTAAGGAAATGGAGGTCATGTTTATGTTTGGGGTTGTTAGGTTTGCAGTCCTCTGGACTAAGTTTTTAAGCATCTTGTACATATCAAATTTTATTAAAGCTCAAGTTAGGTGACTAGAACTCCTTCAAGACAAAATATTGAAATAAAAGTTCACTTTTGTAACCATGCTATTGAGAACAAACACTGTGGGTGAATATTTAATTCTGACAGCTGCCCGGGTTGTCTTTTATGGTGCATTATGTGGTAATTGAGCCTTGCCACTCACTACGCATGTAACACTGTACCTCAGTTTCTTCATTAGCTCAATGAACATAATGGTGGCATCTCTCTGAAGTACAGGTTGCTGTCCACACTAAATTACCTTACACTTACAAAGAGTATCATGAGGATAGTGCCCAAAACTAAATTTAAAAAATAGTCTTTACTTTTATTTATTTGAAAGACAGACAGAGACAAGGAGAAAGACACAGAGAGATCTTCCATCCACTGGTTCATTCCCTAAATGCCAGGCTGAAGCCAGAAGTTGGCAACTAAATCCCAGTCTTCCACTTAGACATCAGGAAACCAAGTACCTGATTTATCACTGCTGCCCGCAAGGGTTTATATGAACAGTACCCTGGAACTTGGAGTGGAGCCAGGACTAGAACCCAGGCACTCCCAGATGAGATGTAGGCATCCCAAAGGGCATTTTAACTGCTGTGTCAAATATTTGCCTCCTAGAACTCAATTTTAGCTATCACTGTCCATATGCTAATTATTTTAGATGGATATTATTTAATCTTTCTAACAACCTAAGAAGTCACTATTTTCTCCATTTCCCATTAGGAAACTAAGGTAGAGAAGGGTTTAGTCTCTTGTCTGAGGTACAGATAGGTGGTATTTGTCAGGCTCCAAAGTCCATGTGGTTAACCATTGCAGTCCAGTGCTCCATGCATGCATGTGCGTGTGAATGTGCAGGCACAGGGATGTCCACGACGCTCACAGCAAAATATTCTATGGCTTCTGCCCTTGAGGGATGGTCAGAACCTCCTTTGAAGACAATCGTGTAAAATACTAACAGGCTGCAACAGCTGTCTTTCTCTTGAGTTAATCTTGTTGTCATTACTTTGACTCTTCGCTAATAAAACATGAATCATATGGATTTTATGTTAAATGCTTTCTAAATTATTTGCCTTGTCTACATAAAGTGGACATTTCATAGGTCCCTAATTCCCAGGTGTCTAAAAATTCTCTTTTAGACTTAGTCAATCTTGCTGTCAAAAATTAATTTGTGTGTGTGTGTGGCAGGGGGACACATTCTTAATTGTTCCTGTTTTGAAGACTAACCTATTTTCCCTTCATAACCACAGTCTATACAGTAAGTATCGCATGTGGGTTCAGGGGCCTAGAGACTTGGGCCATCTTTTGCTGTTGGATTGGAAGTAGAACAGTTAGGACTCTAGTGGTGCCCACATGGGATGCTGACTTTGCAGGTGGTGGCTTAACCCATCATGCCACAATGCCAGCCCCTCATTGCCCAAATATTTGTCGAATGCCTGCATTGGGCTATCTTCTCCATTGATAATTTTAATTCTGCTGCCTTAATTTTTAGTGGACGCAAACATATATTGGATTTCTTGTTCTTCTTCCTCTTGTTAGCAATCCCCCTGCTTTCTGACCTTCCTGTGGATTTGGCACTGCCATAGTGGTGGTGTCAGTGTGTGAGGGAAGGTGGGATGTGTAAGGAAAAGGGGTGTAGAACAGAAAGGAGACAGTTACAAACTCACAGCCAGAACAAATTTATTCAGGGAAAATAAATTCGCAGAGGTGAGTGATCAACTTCCAGTTTGCACACAGACTGAATATATGTCCAAGGGCCCAGCCCACTGAGGACTTTTTATATCTTAGGGTGGGCTAGGGGTCTGGAGGTGGGGTGTGGGATGATAGATGGAGGTGAGTTTCTCCATACAGGTTTTTCAAGTTTCATACCTGGAAAAGAATGTGGGGTGCGGTGGGGAATAACACAGTGTGTGAGAGTGAATTGGTGTCTTGACAGGATGCAGGGATAAGAAGTAAATTTGAATTTCACAGGATGCAGGGGTAAAGCGCAAATTCCGATTTTATCTATTTTAAAGCAAAGAGCTAGAATGGCTGAGTTTCATGTCCTTATTCCATCAGGAAGGATGATAAGTCTTGTCTACTTTTCAACCCCCTGCAACTTAAACACTGCCTTCCATTAAATAAGCTATTTTGTCAAGTCAAATCATGCTGTATCTCTAGCCAGATACTACCTGTTCTTAGCTTTCCACAGTGAGCCCTATTGTCCAAAGTCACGTTCTTTGTGCTTTTATATAGATTTTCCAGTTGTCCACAGTTGCATTCTTTCCACCTTTTCTAGATCTCTCCCAAATTTACTATACTTATGGTCCCTTTTCCTTGGTTTACCACTGTCACCCATCTCTTGCACACCTCTGATCTGGGCAGACTAAGTGTCAAATCGTGACTTTGGTGTGAGGCTTCTGGCAGACTCTGAATTCCAGGGCAATGACTTAGAATTGGTGATCTTATTCAGCTTGATGTGTCATGGGGGAAACTTTGCAAACTAAAGAGATAACACGTCCCTGGAGGCTGTTTAAAAGGCTCCAGCAAAGACTACGTGCCTTGATCCTGTGGGAGATGAGACAGTCATGCCATCATTAACCTTCAACTAGATGTGCTGTGTCTGATCACATGGCCCTTCTGACCTAATGGGGCATGGACACATCCAGTGCCTGAAGTACCAGGAGGCCTGTGATCAATGTGATGGTAGGGCTGCAGCCAGCAACTTGGAATGTAGGGAAGGGAAAGGTTAAACTGACCAAAGTTATTTAAGAGAGTTACCTGCAGGACGTGTGACTTGGAAGATGATCTGCAAGCAGAGATTAGGGGCTGACAGTTCAAATGAGTTTAGAACAATTTTTGGTCCACTTAGAATGTGTGTGGGAAGGTGTAAACTAGGATCCAAAGAGAGTCATTTCTTTAGAGAAGAGGCAGACATGATGATGCCTGTAACATATAATTTAGGACAGTAACTCTGGTACCATCAAATGGGATAGATTGGGAGGAGACTGTACTGACCACTTCAGAAGTCCCTTTAGTCCAATCCAAGGTGAGAAATATTTTTAAATCCAGAGCTCACAGGATAGACTTGACAAAATTTGGCAATGAATTAGAGAATGAAGAAGTAGGTGGTGACAGTGAGTCTGGACAAGCTGAGTTTGAGATGCTTGTAGGTCATTCAGGTGAGGACATTCCACAGTCAAGTGGCCACTAGGGCTGGAATTCAGAGAAGGGGTTGGGCTAGGGACATAAGTTGTTGGAAACCTTAGAAGTGGTGGTTATCAAGGAAGAGTGTAGAGTGAGAAAAGATGAAGAGTGGGCTTAAAAATTGTCTGTACTTCAAGGAAGGGAAGAAGGAAGAAGAACCAGTGAGGGAAACCAAGAAGGAGCAACCCGAGAGCAGGCGGGAAAGATCTTGGCATCACAGAAGCTGGTATGTCACTTGGCAACAAGCAGCGCTGAGGATGTGGCTTCTCAGGTATTCTAGAGCAGGTTCCGCAGTTTCTTCTGTACTGGCCTCCTCGCCAGGCCACCGGTGGCTGGTTGTGTTGCCATTGACACTTGACGGGCTGCAGGGTCCTGGGATCCTCACTGTAACTGATGTCACACTCGTGCTGGGCTTATGGGAAAGTCCCCATGACACCACTCAGACCATCTGGTAGTTTTTAGCAAGATTATTCTGAAGAGTTGAAGATAGAGAGCAAAATAGTCCAAAGAATTCTGTATGAGAATAACTTAGAAGCACTTCTAGATATTACCATTCTGTGAGCTCCCAGGCCAAGGTATGATCTTGAGGTTCTTTCTGGATCTCCTCCATGTCTTCCCCACACCCATCTACAGGAGTTCTCCAGGCCAAACTCATGGAGTGGAGAAGGAAGGTCCTCTCTCATCCTCTATTAGAAACAACTCCCATGTCTTCTTCCTAAGTTGACTGAATGGGAATGTTGACAGTTGTCCCCATCCTTCACCTGCAGTAGTGATATTCTGTACTTGGGATGCAAGTGGGATAGATTAATTGCAGGAGCACATGAGCCCAACATCAGCATGATCTGGGTAGCCAGTATCAACAGATGTAGTTGTCAGCCATCCATGCTGGTGGCTTTCTCTAACTTACTCTTCTGAATGAACTAGAACTCTTGCCTGAGTGTCATTCTTGCAGTCCCTGGGCTTCATGTCTTATAATCAGCACCCAAGTTAAAATGGAAATAGTTCTCCAAGACGCAGACACGTGGGAGAAAGTCATGTGTTTTTGAAAAAGATTCTATTCTACATATACACTCCTCTTTCTGTTGCATAATTGGAACCCATTCCTCTAGATTAATGCTGTCCTCTAACACTTTCTGTGATGATGAAAATAGTCGATATCTGGGCTGGAGCTATGGCGCAGCATCCCATCCCTGGCCTGAAGCGCCGGTTCTAGTCCCAGCTGCTCTTCTTCCCATCTAGTTCTCTGCTATTGCCTGGGATAGCAGTAGAAGATGGCCCAAGTCCTTGGGCCACTGCACCCATG